GAGACTTTATGTTAAAAGAATACTTGATTGTTTGAAGCCTGGAGAGATTTTGTGTTGAAAGAATACTTGGACAGTTGTTTGAAACGGCAAATCAAAGAATACTTAAATTGAGCTAGAAGTGACTTCTGAAATAATACTTGTATCTTTGTGAAAGATAGTGAAACTTGATTGGGTTAATCAAGAATTAGACATAGTCTTGGTGATTGAGACGAATCAATATAAAAAGATTGTGTGTTCTTCTTACTTAACTTTTCGTTTACACTCTTACAGTCTTGCTACTACTTTGTTATTTCGAAAATTGTTGAATTTTTTATTGATACTATTCAACATTCTTCTAGTGACTCTCTTTTTTCCACAAAAATGGTAGAATCCTCCACACAAATCCTCTCATTTCAACAAGATTAAAATTCACATGGAACAAACAAAAAATTACTCACACTCCCAAAGTTAACTCCCACTCACTCCCATCCTTTTCTCTCACCCTCCATCCAACTTTCACTATGCCAAACACAGTGCTAACATGTTTGGTTCAACATTGTTTGCCACAGATGTGCTTATAGGATGTAAAAGTCAAAAACTATCTAGATATGCTTTTGTGCCAAATGTAGGAAAATACATTATTCTAAATTGACCACGATGTGAACATTGATATATTGATTGTTTTATTATCGTTGACACATTTGTTATACAAAATTTCTAATGTCATATAAGTCATTTGCTAATAGATTGATTGCATGTACACAATATACTTTATTTTCTCTTGACATTGTTCGTGAGTAGGATTGGGTATACAGATTTGGTCGTAAGGCCTGACGCATGAAGCAAACATTTTTAAGGGACTAAACAAGTTTAATTCACAAAATAAACAATCCAAAACATCTTGGCTTGCATCCGGCTCGTAAAGCTCATATTCGTAGGCCTAATGAAAATTTAGAACTGTTTTAGAAATAATTGTCAAGTTTAAGAGATTTTTTTTTCTTTCCTTAATTTGTAAACCGTGGAAACACGAGAAAGAAAAAAATACATCTTAAAAAAGGATATAAATTTATTTGCAAACAACATGAAACATCTTAAATAAAAAATTAAAGTATTAACATATCAATGTTGTACATTTTAACAAAAACATCAAAATCTAAATGTCTTAAAAATTTGAAAGTCCAAATACATCAAAACTTATGTCTTAAAATCTTCAAAATTAAAACAAACCAATTAAATATCAAAGTTTTAATGTCTTAAAAATAAACATGAAATATTATCATAGTGTGAAACATACTAGTTTGTAAGATTTGCAAATTAAGTTTGCGAAGTCTGCAAACTTCACAAATCAAGCCAAAAAATTGTTATGACCATATGAATTTAAAAAAAAAATGGGTATGTATCTATGTGAGCCACGAGCTTAACAGGTTGGTCCATGAACCTTGGACCATATACCTATCCTTATTCGTGAAGCTTCAACATGTTTTGACATTGATTGCATGAGTTTAAACACAATGTTTTGTAAATCATAAGAAGGGAGAATCAAGTTGTACCAAGGATTTGTTGAATTACTTTCAAGAAAATGGTTGTCACCACAATATTCCTTTTTTTATTTTCTTTCTAACAATTTGAAAGCAAATATTTATCTTTTATTGTGTTGTTTACACAATAAGAATGTTTTGTTTTAATATCAAGAACTTTAAGAATATAACCTTAGAACTAATAGATTTGTTATTGTATGTTTTAAGCTTTAGCTACAATTTATAACCTCTTTATACACTAAATGGATGTAAAAATTATTTTTTTAAAAATTGATATTTGAGATATTAGATCCCATCTTATTCCATTCAATTATTTCCTTGAAGTTACATATGTTGCTTATTTTATTTTATTTTTTGATGAAGAATGATCACGTAATATTTTAAATTTGATAATAAAAAACTAATATATACTCATAATATGTGGCTTTCCTTGACGAAACATTGTTTATTTTAAATTTAGAAATGCATTCATGATTTCATACCTATTTTCATCTCTTACACTTTTATTTTTCTTTAAACAAAACAATTAAATAACTAGACAAATATTATATTGATCCCATAATTAAAATTACCTAAATATATGGCATAATATTCAAATGTTGTATAAAAAAAAATTAAATATATACTTGAATAATATTGGAACAAACTGATCTATCTTTTAATGAGTTTAATCTCAATAATCGATTTTTATTCAGTAAAAATTCTGAATGGTTTATACTTATGTTATTTAATTTCTTTTATTATAATTGTTTAATTTATATTTAAATTAATGAAAAAATAGTTTAATATGTATAAAACAATTATAAATTAGTTATCATTATAACGAATGACGATTAGCATTATAACAAATTAGTGGAATTAAATCACTTTATATCTTTATATTTTATTTAAAATTTTAAAATAAAAAAATTTATGATTAAATAATAAAATAAGTAATTAATAATTTAAAGTTTTGAATAGTTATGGATGGTTAACTTATTTGAGTGATAAAAATAAAAATAACTTTCAATATTATTATTTTTTATTTAAAAATTTAAAAATAAAATCATTTAAAAAAATATGTGATAACGAAAAATAATTACAAACCGACGTATCTCTTTTATACATAAATATAAATGATAAATAAACATTAACTAATAATTGATAGAATTAAATAACATTCACTTCGATATTTGAATTCAATTTTGTCTATGATCATTGTTTACAGAAAGGGTAATTTCCCTCCCTACACTTCATATTAGAAAATATATATTATATATTCTTATGGCAATCATTTATTTTAAAAGTATGCTAAATGTTTATAAGATACACACAGCAACCATTGACTTTGCATTTTGTCAATATTTAGTCTTAACCATTAAACCATGTTAGGGTGAAACAAATGGAACGGTGAATGATTGGATTGGTAAAGTTTCAAAAAGTTACACGAGCATAACACTATTTCTATTTACTTGAATACTATCAATTTAAATAAGAAAAACAAGTAAAGGTTTTTTTGCTTCTTCTCACTTCAATGTAAGTGCTTTACGCTTATTCTTAAAGTTAAAACGTGTCCTCCGAATAAGAGTGAAGGAATGAAAAGCAAATGTAAATAGTAAGAGTAATAATTAAGAAAAGGGTGAGGGAGAAAAGACATAAAAGGGAGAATGCAATGATATATAATGCTTTACAGCCATGTATTAGTGACAAGTTGTCAATTATGAAATGTTGAAAGCTTTTAATCACACTATTGTATTATGGTACTTCACTTTCTTACAGACACTGCTTTTCATTTCTTGGCTATTAAGGCACATAAAGAAGACGATGAAAGAGCGAGTGAGAAATATACACGTACACATCACTTTCTTTAACTCCAAGATAATGATTATAATTTCATATTCATTGTATATTGGTGAAGATTGACATTCCATACTTTTGGTAGAAGGAAAATCTCATGCACATTTATATAATTATATGCATGTAAATCTATCATAATTTAATATGAATTATTATTCTTGTATCAAAAGATTTGTTTAAACTCTTGTAAGAAAGAAAGAAAGATTTGTTTAAACTTTCAAATCGCCATTTTTTCTTTTGGAGATATGTGTTTAATTATTCACCATATTTATTATTGTAAAATTACACCAATTAAACGAATTAAAAAAAAGACAACCTTTAATTTTCAAAATTTGAATAAAAAAGCCATTAAGTAATTTAATTTTTCAAATATATATATATATATATAATTTGATCTTATGTCGTGTAAATTTTTGGTCCCATATAATAAAGTCAATACAATGTTTGAATAATAGAAAACTATTTATTATATTATTTTTTATTTATAAATCAAGTATCTTTTAACCAAAAATTAATCTCTTATACATTGATATCTATTGAAATACTTGACTTCTTTTTATAAATATTTTTCTATACATATCCATTAATTAGAGATCAAATAGTTGGCTATGTATTACACTACAACACAAATAGCTTTTAGTAACATTTAAAAATTGTTACTTAATTATGCATAAATGTTACTAATTTGCTTTAGCAACATATTGTCAAATGTTAAATATAGTCTATGTTGCTAAAGACTTTTTAATAACATTTTTATATAATTAGGTAATATTTTTCAAATGTTAGCAAAGTAGTATTTTTGTAAAATTTTAATGATGTTGCTAATATTTTGTTGATTTATAAAATAATAATTAATTTTAATTTAGATATATTACTATTAATTATTATATTTTTATGCCTCTTAAACTCCTAGGAATTCTTAGTTATTTTTTGGGGAAGACATTCTTAATTAGTTACCACTAATTATATATAAAATATCAAATTTCATTTATCTTAAGTATAACTATATGGTTATATATACTCTTTATGAGTCATTAATCTATTCGATGTGAGACTTTAATTATGGATAATAATTAAAGATAAGAGAAATATATTTTTTTTACTTGATGTGAGACTTTGATTTTAGAAGCAATTATAGTAACATTTTTTCAAAAAAATGTTGCAAAATAACCTATGTGAAATTTTTTTACTCGATATGGGACTTTGATTTTGAAAACAATTAGAAAGAATAATACTAAAATACAAGTGTTACTCTATCTGTAACGACCCGCCATGGTCTCTACACTTAGTGGAATCGCACTACTACTAGTGAACTAAGAGAAATATTAAGCTGGATAATTCATACATACAGGTATAAATAAGAATGAAAATAACTAAGTTTCTGGTTATAAAATAGAACACCATATATATACAGTCATCCAAAAATTAATATGACTCTAGTGCCGGTCAAGCACAGATGAAACCGTTACCCAAAATGATAACTCTAACACGAGAATCAAACTCCCCGTCTCGTAGCGGTCACCTCAACTCCAAGCTAGCCCTGACTTGCTCCCATACCAAGTATGATCATCGCAGTTCCACCACATGGAAACAAAAGCGTAAGCTAGAGTTCAAAACCAATCCTACAAGTATAGAATAAAATCTATACTACACATCATCCAACTATATCAATCATATTCAGAGTCACGCCATACACTCTATCCAATACTACTCATGCATAAAATACACTCCACCAATCATGAAGTCAAACACCACACTTCATCATATTAATAATCATGCAATAATTGTATAACAATCATCATCACAAATGACCATACAATTCAACATAAAAACCCAACTCATTCATACAACGTAGAAGCAACTTTAATACAACAACAACAACAACAATATTATACAACTTAATATTTAATGTGTCGTCACGCATATACCACTGGGAGGTCTCCAACAACTGAAGTTGAGCAGTCTAGGTGGCATCACTACTACAAGATCTATCATCTACATCAGTTCAAATAGGTCATCTACATCGGTTTGAAAACTGATGTAGAATAGGGAGACGTAGAAACACATATCCTTCTACATCGGTTCTGAAAACCGATGTAGATTTGTACAAAATCTACATCGGTTTTGTTGACAACCGATGTAGATTTGTACACAAATCTACATCGATTTTAAGAAAAACCGATGTAGATTTTGCACACCAATCTATATCGGTTTCCAGTAAAATTAATGTAGATTTGTGCACAAATCTACATCGGTTCTATGGACAACCGATGTAGAATGTAATTTTAAAAAAAAAAATTATTTATTTTTTAGATTTTTTCTGGTTACCTGTAATAAACATATATATATTCACATGCAATAATGCATCATACATCATACATGGTCTACCCACCATCATGATCAATAAACATACTCATATGAACATATACACATGTCATATCATATTTAAACATTCATATATATCATCACTATGCATACATTTGAATCACACCTCACCATACATCATATATCATATATACATGATCCAAAACTTCAACTTAACATGCATTAGCATCATTTCATTCATAAACATATTCACGCCTAGCGTAGCCTGAGCTCGCCCAGCCTAATCCTAACCTGAGAGTCCTAAAACTCATTCACACTCGGGGCGTTCAACTCACGCTCGGTGTCCTTGAGACAGAGACTCCTAAGAGTCTCCACGCCTGACGCAACCAAATCACGTCTGGCCCAACATTCAACCCGAGAGCCCTAAGTTCTTCCACGCCTGGCGCGCTCAACCTGCACCTAGCCTAATCCCAGTCAAAGAGTTCAAAAACTTTCATCCAAACTAACAAATCCAACCACATGCAAACACAAAAACACAATGCATAGGCTCCATACAACACAAAACAAACTTAAATCTCACATGCATCCAACCTATGCATCAAAATCATCAAAATCCTCCTTTTTTCCCAAAACCCCAAAAAATGAGATTTTCTTCAATCTATCTATGGATTCTCAACATTCATGCATCAATTGAGTTTCTAAACTCACATGCAACCTAAACAACAAATATTCTAGCTTCCCTCACCTGAAGATTAGCTCAAAATAGCCAATAACTGAGAAGAAGTAGAATTCCCTTCCGAAGCTCAACCTGGAACTTCAATCCTCCCAAAGCAAGCTTCCTAATCTGAATTTCAAGAAAAGACAGAAGGCATTAGTGATCCAGAGGAGAAAAGGAATCATACAGAGAAATTTGGGAGAGAAAGGAGCTCACAGACCCAGAGTCCTTCTCTCTAAAACTTCTCTCTAAAAACTTCACTTTCTCCTCAACCACGAGGCCTATGTTTAAATGTTTCATTTGAATTCCACTTGCTTCTGGCATTCTGCCTGTTGCTTCTGTGGTTGATGCTGGTAAGAGAAATTCATTTTCAAAAAATTAATGCTTGGTAAAAGATAGGTCCTGCTTAGTTCATATTTTGCTTATGAAATACATGTAAAGAAAATTAAAAAAGAAAATGTTCCCTCACCAATTTTATTGTTGCCAGTATAATTGGTTTGTCCATGCATATTTTTACTGATCCTGTATTTCTGCTATCAAAGATAAATTAATAACTAATCACATAAAATATATATGCAAAAATAAGACAATACAAATCATTTCAACAGTCTTTGCCCTATGAGTGCCAATCTGTTACAAAAGGTAATTAGTTTACCAGTTACAACAGAATAGTGAGACCAGTTACAACAGAATAATGAGCAGGTTCTATTAAACTGATTCTTTGGCTAAGTTTAAAAAGATTGATTTTGTTTTCATGTCTTGAAAGGAACATAAAAAATCCAAATCAAGTAACCAACTATTTACAAGTAACTAGTACCATCATGTGTCTTGGTGTTCACCTTCACTACTTGAATTGCAATCTATACATAACATTATCATAATTAAACTGAAAATTTAAATAAATAATATGGCCAAAATTAAATACATCTTATATTAATTATATTGGTCATTCATTGAAATAACATGTTACCTGAAGATGACTCTTTAAATGGCAGAGAGTAAGTCCAGGAATCCCCATCAGTTTCAATATTGTTTTTGGTGTAGCTTCTGCATAGAAAGAATAAGTTAGCTTCAAAATAACCATTTTCTGATTCACAATTTTCGTATTGTGTGCATAGACTCACTGTCTGCTCCTCCAAGGTGATTGACTGCTTCTATGAACCGTTCATGAAGATCTAGTGTCCATTTTAGTCTAGGCTTAGCATCGGTTGAAAGAACAAGTGTTAAATCACCAGTTCCATTGCCTTCATGCATCATCATATGCGTCTCAGTAGGGTTATGCATCCTTAAAGCATGCATGTTCTTAGCTTGTTGCTGCTGCGGATAGTACATTATCTTTCAAGGTAAAAAAAATGATTTCATTATTCTATATAAATGCACAAGATAATATTAAAAGGGCAACCTAGTGCCTAATACTTGAACTTGTGACCTTAACAAAGCAATAACCTTACTGTTGGGCATTATACTTTGTGAGACACCTTACCTCACACGTTGCATTTGGAGAAAGCACTTGTCCATTGGAATTGTGTGCATTATACTTTCTGAGACACCTCACCTCACACGTTACAACAACGGTAAACGTACTCAACTTATTCTCACCCCTCACCTCACATACATAGGATGGTTTCCTAAATTTTAGCAGCAGCAACAACAGTAATAAGCAAATTAACACAATCAGATTGCAAACATCATGATAATATAAACGTACTCAACTTAATGAAAATATACATGCATTCTCAAACATTGAAAAAGATGAAATATGATAGTGATGATGAGAGGCTGTGCAGAGCAATTAAGAGTATCCACTTGAGTATAAGAGGATATACACGATGCACAATCAACACCATTTTTTTGTTGCTCTAAAAATGGGCAAGTTTAGGTGCCTTTACTAATAAGTAGTGTATCAATCTAGAGAAAATTGTAAAACAATCCTAATTAAACTAAAAATCATGCTCTATTTCTAAATTTTTCTAAAAAGAAGGTTGCCCATTGACTTCGAATGTCTTCCAATTTGGTTTCCGGCAATGGTGCAACATCATCAAAAAGCTGTAACATACAGTATAATATATTAGTTACATAAAAATCATGTAAATAAATTAATTAATGATAGTAAAAGTAAAAGAATTACATTACCTCAAACCAATCATTTGTTACTTCCCCTTCAATTATGTCTAACATCCAATTCATCACATAATATCCACATTCGTAACCTCCTTGTTGTTGATTACTCTAAAATGAAAATTAGATTGAGTTGTATAAGTAATTTTTAATTTTAAAAAAAAGATTATAAGGAACCAAAATAGGGTTTTAACCTAAAATATATTTATGAATTTCTTTAATAACATAATCAACCTACCAATTAATTTTATATCTGCTTCATTTAATATTTAACTCTTTTTTTAACGCAAATATCACAATATAATAATTTTACACTATATACATATATAAAACAATGTTTATTAACTATACTATTAATATAAAAATAATAACAATGTTATTAGCTGAATAATTTTAGAAAATAAAAATAATCTTTTACTTCCATATAAATCCTTCAAGAAATGTCCCTGACGTTTGCGGTTCATAACGTTAATTTTATTATAACATTTTCAATCACCATTTTAATTTCAATAATTTACATTTCTTTCAAGTGATTTTATATTTTGTCTTCTTTCGATAAAATCTTCATATTTTTCTATCACTATTTCTCTTTTCAATTATGTCTTCTCTTTTAATATATTTCTTTCTTATCATTATATGATTTACCTGTTTAAATGTTTAATTTTATATTTGATTACTTGCGATATATGTCTAAAAATGTATTTACATATATATAAAAATAAACTAAAATTACTTTCATTTACTTTCTTCTATTCTTTACTCTTTGGTTTACAATTTGTTCTCATGATCGATCTTTAAGATTGATAAAAAAATTAAGCATAAACCATAAATAAGAGGGCTTACAACATGAGTTCAAAGGTCTCTAATTGAGGAAAATGTCCCTTCCTCAAATACGATGAAATTATGTTTATTGACAAAAGAAAATGCAAGCATAAAAAAGAAAACAAAAGAAAATATTGTACGATCACATATACACTCTAAAAATAAAATATATATCAAATACTTATTTTTATCATATTTTTTATCATATTTAATCACTTTATTTCTCTTTCTCTTTATCCTTAGTCTCTTTTCCACTTAATAATGGATTGGACACGGATAGTAAAATACTTATATCTGTGGGTACTCACACTTTAAAAATATAAAAATAATCTTAATTATATATAAAATAGTTTAATTTAATTTATTTTTACACTAAATATATGTATCATAATTATTTATTTTAATATAAATATATGTTACAAGTTTTTAATATAAATATGTTTTAAAATTATTTAATTTTAGTTTTATTTTATTTCCTATTTTTTATTTAAAAATTTAAATTTTCTCAAATATCCACATATATATATATATATATATATATATATATATCTAGCTAGATTCTAAGTTCGTGGAGGTGCGGTTTGTTTTTAAATTAATATATATATCTAGAGATCGATGATATTTGAAATTTAGTTTAAAACAATTTGTTTTATTTGAATGATAGATATAAAGTCAGTAGAGTAAATAGAAAATCAAACAGAACAACGACACCTTCAACAAAGAACAAAGTAGAGTAAATAGAAAATCAAACAGAACAACGACACCTTCAACAAAGAACAAAGTAGAGTAAATAGAAAATCAAACAGAACAACGGAAAGGGATTGAGATTACATAATTATTTATTATTTCCAACAAGAAATAAAGTAGAGCAAACAGAAAATAAGACAGAACAACGGCAAGGGATTGGGGGCCAATCCGACAAACAGACTATCCAACAATTATCCCCACACCCCCGAGCGAGGTTTCTCACTCCCCCCTTACCTGGATAAGCAGAGTTGAAACTTGAGCAGGGCCTCCTCCTCTGGAGTCCTTCCTTCTTTCCCTCTCTTTCTTTCTTTCTTTCTTTCTCTCTCTCTCTCTCTCTAGAATTTTCACTTTTCACTCAGTTATAATTTTTCACCCCCTTCAGTCTCTATTTATAAGCATCCTGGGGTCCCCGGAACGGCCCGTATTGAATTCGGAACGGCCCGTATTGAATTCAGAACGGCCTGTTCCGGATCCTTCGAATCTGTGCAAATTTCTCGACTAGAATGGCCCGTTCCAAAATCAGAACGGCCTGTTCCAAAACCCGGCAGAATGGCCCGGTCTGCTTTCAGAACGGCCCGTTCTCCTTTCTAGAACGGCCCGTTCCAGACCCGTTCTGGGTCTTTAAAAACAAGCATATTCCCTCTTTGGAACGACCCGTTCTGCATTTGGAACGGCCCGTTCCGACACCCAGAAATACGCTTATTTCTTTATTAAAATTACAAAAATGCTATCAATAATTACGAAAATGCCATCTTTTAAAAAAAACTGGGTGTTACAAAGATGCACTTACTGATCAACGTAAGGAGCAAAGTAAATTTGCTTGGGTGAATTTTGTAACCTTTCAATGATATAATTTTGAGACTCTGCTTTTTTATTCCCGGATTTTTGAATTGATTGGGGCTCAAGAAATCCATACAAGTCACCATGATTGAGTTCTTCAATTTTATGATTCAAATATCTAAAATACATACAAAAGAAAAAATTAATAGTGAAGGAAATCATAATTAAATAGATAATGACACTAACAATTGTGTACTTACAACATCCATAATTGTATAATTGAGATGTTAAGCATTGCTTCACGTTGTAATAATTCATATATATCTTGAAATGAAATATACAACATAAAATCATCATCGCTGATCCCAAATAGACTTGCAGGACATATCACTTGAAATTGGGAACTTAATATAAAAATTTTATAGTCATCCACTAAATAGATACCTTTACTAAATAGAATAGATGAGAGAAAGTTACTACCCTTCCCACTCATTTCATTGTCATCTCTACTTTTGTACAAGGTGAATGTTAATGGATTAGCCCTTTTGGAAAATCATTGGGAAGTGACAGATGATGTTCGGCCCAATTAATAGGCAAGGAGAGTTCGGCCCAATTAATTATTTCGGAACCACATTTGTTCAGCTAATCTGTCATATTAACACATTTTTTTTGGACTTTAGGGTTTCATTAAATATTTGATTTCTCTTGGCCTTATTCTAAGACTCTTTGGAGCATTCACTTCAAATTCCTTCAACTTTGGATCCGTTTGTTTGAAGAAGCAACTTGCCTCCCACGGACTGAACACTCAACAGAGTCACTTGCTGGCGCTTATTTTATTTATTTTTCATTATGATAAGATATAATTCCTTTCTATACACGAGGGTTCAAATGATATTGGTGTAACTTTTACTAGTAATATTTAGTAAAAATAACACTTATACATGTGTTATTTGAACCCTCTTCCTTTTTATATCATCTCATTATAAAAATAACATGTACTTTAACTATGTCTATATATTTGTACTCCTTATTTCTTATTTTACCTCCCTTAACAAGTACATATATCTTACGTTATATCAATTTATTTTTTAATTTACATATTTAATTATTATTTTAAAATTATTATAAATTTTTTTAAAATTAATTATATATTTTAATTTTTTAATTATTATTATTACATTTTTTTTAAGTTTATTAAAATAAAAAGATATATATACATATAAATATAATAAAATTAAACATGAGAATTAAGATAGTATTTAATCAATGTAGTTAATGTAATATTTCTATAAATATTTAAATTAAAGTGTATTTTATTATATAGTATTAAGTATATTTATTAAATAAAATATATAATTATCAAGATATTATTTAATTGATGTGATTAATAAAATATTTTGATAACTATATAAATAAACTGTATTTTTGATAAAATATTATTTATCATATTTAATAAATATAATGCTATAATATGTATATTCAAAATACTTTTTTAAATAAATATATTTATATTAAAAATACAATTAATATAACTAATTTTATAAAATAAATTGGATAACTTTATTATATATATATATATATATACATATATAAATCTTTTGGACACTTGCCAATAATTAAAAATAAATCAATAATAATTAAGAGTGTGATAGAAAAAACATATTTAATATTAAATTAATATAAAAAAGTTAAATTAAAACAAATAAAAAATACAAAAACGTCAAATAAAATATAACGGAATAAAAAACATGGACTTAGTTTTTGATTAAAAAAAAGAAATGAATCGCAGGAAAATATACGAATGTTAACGTGGAAGGATATCTTGGTTTATTTTATTTTATTTTTTACTGCGGAAGGATATCGATTTTTAAAATTAAAAGGTTAAGAGAATATAAAACGCACAATTCCAGTAAACGTGACGATAATTATTTCGAACAAATTAGCATTTCCGAAATAAAAAATGGAGACAAACAAGACACTGTGTCTCAGCTAATAATATCTAAAAACATTGAAAGACAAGTATTAATTTGTATATTTCCGATTTAAACAGTGATATCTTTCGGTTAAAATTCTAAATATACGATTGTATTAAATATTAAATATTAAATATTAGAAGAGTGTACATGTTTTAACATGCATCAACTCGAAATTACCTCTTGTAATACATGAAATATATTTATATAAAAATTATGTAGTAACATTGAATTAAAAGAATTTTTATAAGATGTAGTTAATAAATTTTAGATTCAGTTCTAATAACTAGCTATTTTTACGTATAAAATTTGTCTTTATGCTTTTTACGTAATGATTTCCTATTACTCAATAAATCTCAATTCTGAAAAGAAGTCCACTATATGTATATATAAGTAATTTCATTTTGAATGTGCGCTCATGTATATGGTAGTAAAATATATAGCACCGAAAATTTCAATCTCAATTCCACAAGCCATGGAATCCAGAATCCCAGAAATTTCAACCAGCAAGATTAGTCACAAACTAAACTGTTCCTGTTTCTTCTGCATCTTGTCTGAAACCGTCCCTTCAGTGAGAAGAGCCAAAATTGCGCAATACTTCAAACAAATGCCTCTAAGAGACAACCAAGAACATGTCCTAGTCTTAAGTGGCCTTTGGAAAATCGCCATGACTAAACCAAACGACCCAGAATTTCCTTCCCTTGGCATCTTCACATGCATGGCCAAACTCATTAGTAAAGGTGTCACTCATAGAACTTGGCTTCTTAGGCACCAGAACATATACATACCCTATTATGCTGCGCATATCATTGGTTCCTATACCATAGAGAAACCCAAGTTTGCCAAAAAAGCTGTTAAGTCTTTTGTGGTTAAGCCCTTACTAGAACTGCTTCGAGGTAAGATAAGTTGGGTTGAACAAAGGGTCGCACTTAGAGCACTGGCTAATCTAGCCAGCCATGAAGCAACTTTTGAAGCTGTTAAAGTGCATGAAGTGGAAATCATAGAAGCAGCCATGAACATAGCTTCTACGTGCCTTAACAAGGTATATGATGTCTTTGTTGGGTTGAAAAAGTCACACAGGTTGAAGTACCATAGAAACCTTCTAACTAGGGGGGTTGGAGGCTTGGAATTGGAGAACATAAAGGCGGAGGAATGGGCCAGCCAGCTTCAATCTTGGTCTCTCTATCTTCTACACTGTTTTGCATGCAGAGAAAGATCTCTCAGGTTAATCTGCAAGAAGAGATTCTTGAAAGGCTTATGTGGAATGTGGGGGGGACTAACAAACCCTTCTTCACCAAGTGGAATAGGACTAGTGAAAACTCTTTGTCACACCCAAATGGGAAGAGAAAGCATAGCAGGTTTGCAAGAAGTGGTAGAGAGTTTGTGTAATGTGTCAAGATCTTCAGATGAAAGGCAACACATGGCTGTTGAAAGTCTTATGCAGCTTCTCATCGACCCGGTTACGAGATATAAAGTGCTAGACATGGTTGCTCCAGTGCTTGCTGATTTGGTTGAACTAAGAGACATCAAAGGGAAACATCACAAAGTTGGAAAAACAATCATGCATGTTCTCTTACAGGACTACCACAAAATCAAGCTTTGCAAGGTGAGTTTGAGTGAAAGAACAAGGAGAAGGTTAGAAGAGTTATTTGATTTAAAGGTGGAGAGAGTCAAGAGAGAGAAACTGACGAGTGTGCAAGAAATGAGAGAAAAAGAAGCCTTATCATGTGTCCTGAAACGAGAAGGGAGTGAGAGATTTTTTGCTGGGGAGGTTGAAAAAGCTGTGATGAAGTACTCAGAGGCTTTGGATTTGTGCCCTTTGAAACTAAGAAAAGAGAGGATTGTGCTTCATAGCAATAGAGCTCAGTGTTATTTGCTTCTCAAGGATGCAGAAGGTGCCATCAGTGATGCCACTAGAGCACTGTGCCTATCCAGTGTAGCGCGTCCTCACAGTAAGAGTTTGTGGAGAAGATCACAGGCTTATGACATGAAAGGGCTAGCTAACGAGAGCTTGATGGATTGTTTAAAGTTCATCAACACAAAGGGGTTCAAGATTCCGTACTATGCAGCACGATTCTTTAACAAGCAAATGAATAACACGTGGCTCTTTGCCTCAGCTAAGTCAAAGTGGTATAGAAAACGCGAAGAAATAAAAGAATTAAATGATGTTATGCATTTGAGACAGAAAACGAGGAGAAAAATGAAAGGTGAGTTCTTCACTGAAGTTTATGTTGTTTTCCTCTCTTTTTTGTGTCTCGTTTTAAGTTCCACACAATGCATGTCTACATTTATGGTGAATGGTCGATCTTAATTAGCTTTTCTCATGTTTGCAGTATAGGAATGAGTAACAATAATGTAGAACATTTCACTGAGAGAGGAGCATGGGAGAGAAGAAAGTCTAGAAGGACGAGTGGAGGTAGAAAAATAGTGAGTGGAAGTGTGAGAAGAAACTGACAGCGTGGAAAAAGGGTGAGGCATGAGCATGAAGTAATTTATTTTATATGCTAGCATGCACAATATGTTTGCCTTCATTCACAAGAGAGGGTGAAAATGTTCTTCTATGATAATTGCTTTTGACAGTAAATTAGTAGTCATAAAAGAATGTGAAAAAGGAGAAGAGAAATATAGAAGTTGATAAGATGGTTTTTTTAGGTAATTATGTTCAACATATGATCCGGGGTAACAAGTAAGACAGACTATTCATGTAAACCTCGTTGGTCTGAATTAGCATTTTATGCCGGTGCTGAATGCAAAAATTATGAAATAAGATAATATGCATGGAAAAAGTGTACATAAATTTACTGAAAATGAATGTGCTTGCTTGTTAGTACAAATTATTTAACATGTTTACATCATCATCTGTTATTAAGTAACATGATATTACCTACACCCAAAAAAACAATATGGTATATTTTAATTAAAAAATGTGATTAATGTATCTTATAACCATAGTTGCTTTTCTTTCCAACAAACTTCTCAATTACAAGAAAAAATGATCTAAATGCAATGTTAGAAAGGGATAAAAAATGTGGTTTTATATCAAAATGAACATCAACGTGATTTGTTGACTAGAAGCTGAATTCTTTTCTAAACGTGTCCGTGAAATGCTGTTACAAAGGAGTTTATTTGTAGAGTTTTATTTTTATACATCTTTATACTTGTTTAATAATGCTGTTTTTTTTTTTTTCTCTATAGCATCAATTATCTTGTCTTATTGTTATTATATTTCTCTCAATTTTCTATAATAATAGTAAAATACTCTTTCTTTTCTGTTTATCTCTCTCTTTATCGCATATTTTGTTGTATAAAAAACTTAAATACAATTTCTCTTGTCTTTATATGTTCTTACGAAAATGTTAGTATACAATTCCAGAGTGTCTCATGTTTGTTGAAGAATATCAGGTTAATATTCTCCGAAACTCGTTGGCATAGCCAAGACATATTGGTTATTTTCAAAAGAATTATTGCCCTAGACAACCTATTCATTATACAGTTCAAACACGTAAATAGCATTTGAAAAGTGTGGTGCTGTCTCTCTTTCGAGACTACTATGGCTATGTTGTCGGAGGGAATGTTAATACTTAAATTTCAATCTCACATTGCTACTTTACATTTGTGGACCAGTGCCGACATTATATCAATTGATTTACGGATTGATAAACTTTATTAGGTATCGTTACCACCACAACTGATGTTAAGCAGAAAATATATAGTAAATAAGCCAATAATGAATAAAGAAATTTCAGGGCCGTTGTTTTACCTGTCCCGCACCCATGCATGATGTATATTGAATAGCATAGTAGAAAAGAAAAATAAATCAATATTTTTTTAGAATAATTGAGAAGATATTTTTAAAGTTATATGCCAACGAAAAAGTTGAAAGATGCTTATGGTCAGATTAAATATTTCAATTATATAAAGTAACTTTTTTTGTTTGGTTTGATATTTCAGATGCAAATACTTTAGTAGGATATAAAATTAGGTAAGTAAAATTTAAGCTTGTTTGTTAAATTTTACTTTATCTTTTGCTATAAAATTCTAAGTATCTGCAATTCTCATCAGACTCAAACTAATATAAGTCGAGTACGATAAATTTATTTAAAAGGATAAAGTTCTTTTAATGCTTATTTTTTTGGTTCCCAAAAATTCAACTCTAAAAGTTCTTGTCACTTCAACCAATAGATATTGGTAAATTTATGTTAATCCCCCACACAACACACACACACACGCATATATATATATA